GATTCTGAAAGACCAAAAAAAATGTCTCAAAACAAATTTAAAAGACCCTAAAGTAACATAAAACAAAAGGACACAACAACCATAAAAACATACAAACATACATACATACATACATACATTCATAAATACATACATACATCCAACTGAATGCCGACATGTGCAATTAACGACAAATCAAAGTGTTAATCCATTTGTTATTTGATGTTTGACGGTTCAGTGTCACTCATCATGTTTTGGTTTTAACATACATACATACATACATACATACATACATACATACATACATTACATACATACATACATACATACATACATACATACATACATACATACATACATACATACATACATACATACATACATACATACATACATACATACATACATACATACATACATACATACATACATACATACATACATACATACATACATACATACATACATACATACATACATACATACATACATACATACATAACTCCGCTGCAATTGGCTTAGAGTTAAACATTAAAAAATGCGAACTTCACTGCCAAAGTTTATTTCAGGTGCCACATGGGCTGGCTGAAATACCCAGAGTTGGTGCATCAGAACTGAGTTTTTTAGGCACACCCTTGGTCGAGGGCGATTATCAAATAAAGTTTTTTGACCAAAAGCTCTCTGAGCTTGAATTCGCCCTGGGTCGTGTTTCCTGTCTTTCGGCCCATGATGCCTTGACTATTATTCGCAATGCCCTCAGTTTGCCCAAATTGATGTACTTCCTGCGTACATCTAAACACATTGACCCTTCTAAATTGGGCGAATTTGACGGAGCCCTGCGCACCGCCCTGTCGTCGATTTGCAATGTTCAAGTGACCGACAGTGGTTGGTCCCAGGCTCAGCTGCCGGTGCGATTTGGTGGGCTGGGGTTGCTTAGCGTGGTTCAGCTGGCTCCCGTTGTTTATAATTCTTCTGCCGCTGCCACTCTCGACCTACAGTCTTCCCTGCTCCACCGGTTTTTTCGTTGCCGCGATATTCGTCCCCCAGCGTCCGCCCCGGGGGACCGTACGCACGTCCAAATTTTGAACGAAGAATATAAAAAAATCTTTCAAAATTTGTTGTCTTCATGCGGCGACGACTTTTCCATCGCTCGTTTGTTGGCCATGTCCAGCGTTGCCAGCTGTGGGTAGTTGAGATCGTGGCCTAACACCTCTGTGGGCACCAGGCTTGACGACGAGTCTGTAAGATTTGCCATTGGCTTCAGACTTGGCCTGGTCATTCAGAATAAATACACGTGCCGATGTGGCGCTGGGGCGGACGAGTTTGGGCACCACGGTTTGGTTTGTCGCCTGGGTGGGGGCCATCAACTACGTCACTCAGCGCTAAACGATTACATTTGTCGGCTCTTCTCCAAGGCTTCAATCCCGGTTCTCAAGGAACCATCCGGCATTTCTGCGCATGATGGTAGGCGACCGGACGGATGCACGCTAATACCTTGGAGAGCCGGCAGATGTTTGGCGTGGGATGTTACGGTCCCTGGCACCCTCGCCGAACGATACGTAAACCTGACAAGTAAAGAATGCGGTTTGGCCGCGGCCAGGGCAGCGGACGAGAAAATGAAAAAATATGGGAATGCCCTCCCCTCGATGGAATTCTTGCCAATATGCATCGAGGTTCTCGGCCCGATGGACCCCAACACCCTTAAATTTCTTAAGGAAATATGCAAAATGATCAGCGTCAGATCAGGTGACAGCAGGGAACTGTTTTTTGCAACCAACCACATTTCGTGCTTGTTGCAGCGGTTCCTGCGTGTCTGTGTGCTTGAAAATATCCAACTGAATGCCGACATGTGCAATTAACGACAAATCAAAGTGTTAATCCATTTGTTACTTGGTGTTGAACGGTTCAGTGTCACTCATCATGTTTTGGTTTTAACATACATACATACATACATACATGCATACATACATACATACATACATACATACATACATACATACATACATACATACATACATACATACATACATACATACATACATACATACATACATACATACATACATACATACATACATACATACATACATACATACATACATACTTGAAGAAGACGTTTTGTTTGGCTCTTCATTCTATCGCCAGTTTGTTAGCGAGCAGAGATTGCATGTTATTTAAAGAGTTGCATTAATTTTAATTATATAATTAATAATAATTATAGTTATTATATAATTTATATTTATAATAACTAAAAACAATACTAACAACAACAGCAAATAAGAACAATAATAATAACATATAATAATAATAATAATTTTTCACCAAAATGAAGATGGAAAGAACTTTTTTACTACTAATTGCCTTTTTCACAGCAGGTTCGTCCAATTAACTTTTATTATTAATATTATTATTCCTATTATTATATTATTATTATTATTATTATTATATATTCATTTATTTCCTATATTATTATATTACGGTCTTCGCAATAGGTCCATTCATTCATCTTTTATTATTATTATTATCATTTATTATTATTTTTATTATTATTATTATTATTCATTATACCACAGTGAAAAGCATTGTTCAGTTCATAATACTATTATCATTGTCGTTGTTGTTGTTGAGGCAGTAGTTATTATTATTACTATTGTTGTTGTTGTTATTATTATTATTGTCGCTGTTGTTGCTGTTGTAGTTGCTGTCGTAGTTGCTGTTGTTATTGTTGTTATTATCGGTTTTTCCCGGTAGCGACAAATTTTTTATGGCCCAGATGATTTTAAAATAGAATGATACGAATACATTACATTATATTACGATACATTGTATTACAATACAATACAAGGCAATACAATACAATGCAATACAAGGCAATACAATACAATGCAATACATTAAGTTAAAATACAATACAATACATTAAGCTAAAATACATTACAATATATTACATTTCTTTACATTTCATTACATTACAATACGTTACAATACAATACAAAATACAATACATTACACATTACACATTGCGTTACGCTACATTTAGATTTTAATAGAATCAAAGTGTACATTGAATTACGTTCATACACAATTACATCACATTAAAAATTAAAGTTTCATTTAAATTGAATTAACTCGATTAAAACCTAAAAAAATTAAATAAATTAAAAGATTCTTCTATAAAATACATCAAATTGTGTTAAATGAAGTTAATGGGCGGCGATGGGACGATAATTGTGGTCAATTCGAATACACTCGACTCGGTATACGTGATCGGTTACATATTGCGTTACGATTATTGGTCGGAATGTCGGTAGGTCGGTATGAGAATCGGTTTTTAAGTCGGTTTTTTTTGGTTCGGTATGTCGGTTCTTTAAGAAACCATCGATAAGATGTGTGTCATGTGATGCTATGTAGTTGTATAGTTGTCAGTCAAGTTTTTAAACGTACGATAA